AATGAGAATATCTTGGACACTGTTTTACTGGGAGATCCAGCAATCCTTTCACTCATACTGTGCTGTGTGTGTGAATATATAAATATTGAAGTATGATTATTAAGTTAATAATAAGCTCCTGCAACTGTATACTGGTACTAATATTGAATTTGGTAATTGGCTGTGTACATGAATGCTATGCCTCAATGACTAGTTACTCTAAAGTTACATGTACAATAATAAGGAGGAACATAAATGAATAAATGTACATTGTATTCAGTAATGTACATGTATAATGTTTGTTTAAATTAATAATTTCCTAAGAGTATAATCAATGCATTGATTGCTAACCAGTCTTCCAGCGCATCCCTCTAGTTCGTCCAGTGTCCTATCAACAATCAGTTCCGATATAACAGCAGCTGTTTCTAAATTCATACCACTAATAGTTTGAATAAAGATACTGCTAATGATATGGGCATTATATACAATACATACCTTATACTGTTGATGATCTCAGGTGCTGTTCTCCTAGCTACAGCTTTCTTTGTCTCTTGAAGCTCACCTTGAAGCTCTCGCCTACCAATCTGACGCAATGTCTCACGATCCTAAATAATAAAAACAATAATGATAATAAATAATGATAATAACATTATACCAATAAAAAAATAATAATAAATAATAATTCAATTGAAGCTACACGAAACAATTAGGAACAACTTTGAGTACTGTGAAGTAGTGATTCCTTTTTTTAACAGGTAAACCAATAAATATGTAACTGTACTATTAAAATTTAGTCTGTAGGGGAACTATTAAGAAGATTGATAACATATCACCAACATCAGTTAGTCTATGCATTGGTCCTGATAATAAGAGTCTAGTTTGGAATATTGGACAGAAGTTCCCAGTAAAGTCACTGGAAGTGTCCCTCAGTGTTACTGTGACATTCACTGAGTTTCCTAGTGAAGAGGAGGAGGAGAGAAATAAAACTGTTGATGCAAAGTTTTGTATTGAGCAGAACAGTTATTGTGAGGTACATGTAGAATCAGTATTTAGTATATTAGTATTGTGAATTAGTTATGGATTAGTAGGAATTTGTAAATAGATTGGCTGCATTATGTGGAATATTCTTGAGGGGATTCCCATTAAGTTTGAATTTCTAAAAAAAAGTTGCTCCAAAATTTGGCCAAATACTATGGATTGTAGTATATTTCGTCTAAATTGACGAGGGGAGAATTGTCCATTTTAATATTTTTTTAAATATACATACGTGTACATGACTTATGTTATGTAGCATTAAAATTTATTTTGGACTGTTTCAAAAAATGCATGCATGTAGGTATTATGTACTCTTGATTGTAGTAATAAGTGATAACTTTTAATATTAAAATTTGATCTTCAATTGATTGTTATTCTACTCTTTACAATAGTTGAATTTCAAGATTTCTGATTTCACTCTCAGCGGCTGTCAAATTGATCCTCGTTCAATCACTTTGTTCCCATCAATCAAATACAAACTAACATTAGGTTAGATATTAATAATAAATTCAATTATTTAACACTTATTATTATTATTATTATTATTATTATTATTATTATTATTCTACACAGGAAGAGAGTTGGTCTCCTCAGGTTACCATATATGGAATTCACATGGTGATGCACTGGGAATACCTTTTATTAGGAATGAACCAGTTGAAGAAATTATTAATTAGTTACTTTTAATAACACTGATAATAGGATTAGTGTTACCTTGTTTGTTGTGTCATTTTTTATACATGGTTATTAGTATTGCTACAATAATTAATATTCATATTTGTTTGATGACGTCATAGGTGGGTGTATCTACATTACAATGGCAGCAAAAGGTGAGGAGTTGTTTGTGTTTGATTGACTCAGTTACTGTTACCTCTTGTTATCTATAGACTATAAACCAGTGGAGAGGAATCACCATTCTACAGTAAGAGTAGGAGATTACTTATATATGTGGGGTGGGGCCCAGCCTGATCTCCCTGAAGTGCACAATAATGATAAAAAGAAAGCACTGTCAT